AAACATAATGCTATTAAGAATTCCAAGATGTACATAAACACCTTCAGCAAAGTATCAGGATACAAAATCAATTTATAAAAATCTCAGTAGCCTTTTTATATACCAACAATGAACAGACTAAGAAAGAATATAGGAAAAAATTTCATCAACAACAGCCTCAAAACAAAAAATACGTGGAAAAAAACTTAACAAAGGAAGTGAACGACCTCTACAGTAAAACCTACAAACCATTGAAGAAAGAAATTGAAGAAGACTACAGAAGATGGAAAGATCTCCTATGTTCACGGATTGGTAGAATAAGCATAATGAAAATGGCTATATTACCAAAAGCAATATATACGTTTAATGCAATTCCCATCAGGATTCCAATGACATTCATCAGAGATTTGAAAAATCAACCCCAAAGTTCATTTGGAAGCACAAAAGACTGTGAATAATCAAGGTGATACTAAACAAAAAGAGCAATGCTGGAGGTACCATATACCTGACTTCAAATTATAATATAGGGCCATAGCAATAAAAACAGCATGGTACTAGCACAAAAACAGACATGAACACTCGTGAAACAGAATAGAGGACCCAGATATGAATCCATGCAGTATAGCCACCTGAGTTTTGACAAAGTGCCAAAAACATATGATGGAGTAAAGACAGTGTTCTTAACAAATGTTGCTGGGAAAACTGGATATCCGCATGTAGAAAACTGAAACCAGATCCATGTCTTTCACTTGTACAAGCATCAGCTCAAAGTGGATTAAGGACCTTAATATACGGCCTGAAACTTTGAAACAACTACAGGAAGTACTAGGAAATACACTGGAACATATAGACATAGGCAATGACTTCCTAGACAGAACTCCAATGGCTCAGCAACTAAAAGAATGAACAAATGGGATTGTATCAAACTAAAAAACTTCTGCACAGCAAAAGAAACAGTCTAGACTTAAGAGACTACCCACAGAATGGGAGAAAATCTTTGCCCGCTATTCATCTGAGAAGGGACAAATATCCAGAATCTACAGGGAGCTCAAAAAACTCAATCCCCAAAGAATCAACAACCCAGTGAAGAAACGGGCACATGAATTAAAAAGGGAATTTTCAAAGGAAGGGGTACAAAGAGCCAAAAAATACATGAAGAAGTGCTTACCTTCCCTGGCCATAAAAGAAATGCAAACCAAAACTACACGAAGATTTCCTCTCACCCTAGTTAGAATGGCTATCATCAAGAACACAAACTGCAATAAATGTTGGCGAGGATCCAGCAAAACAGGAACCCTTATGTACTGTTGGTGGGAATATAAATTAGGAGAACCATTATGGAAAGCAGTATGGAGAGTTCTTAAAAAACTACAAATAGAACTGCCATATGATCCATATGATCCTGGGTATATACCTGAAGGATACAATACAGACACTTGCATACCATGTTTACTGTAGCACTGTTCACAATAGCCAAGCTATGGAAACAACCAGATGCCCTACAATTGATGAATACATTAAGAAATGTGGTATACTACACATTCATATGGAGTTTCATTTAGCCATATGGAAGAATGAAACTTGGTTTGGTGGTAAATGGATGCAATTGTAGGACATCATGTTAAGTAAAGTAAGCCAGGTTCAGAAAGACAAAGGCCATATGTGGTAGATCCAAAAGATAAATGCATACACAAAAACAAACATGATGATACACACATTTATATGTAGAACATGTTTGTAATAGTGGAACTACTGTATGGAGCTTGGGGGAGGAGGGAAAGGAAAAGAGAATGATAGAGCATTGACAATATCAAAATGCAATACATCTGTGCTGGTAGAGGACAGAATGATATGTACTGAAAGCTAAGGCTTGGCGGGGGGCGGGGGGGGAGAGGTCAAAGGGAAGGGAAGGAGTAAGGGAGAGTAACAGAAGGTGTTGAACTGACCAAAGTAAAGTACACTTATAGCAATGATACATGGAGAAACTCCTTTGCATTGACTTTGTAATTAAAAATGAAAGACAGGACTATAAAATAAGTACAGTGTGTGAGGGGGATATTTGTGGGAAGGGTGAGAGTGAATGAAGGAGATGAAAGTGAGGGAATATGATTGATTGGCTTCATTTGCATATATGAAATAGAACAATGAAACTTCTTACAATTGCTGTAAGTGGGGTAGGGAGAGAATTTTGGAGTTTGTGGGAGATGTGGCTATTTGGAATTGGCAAAATGAATGTCCCCTGCACAATGAATATATGCTAATAAAAATGGGGGGAAAAAAAAGAATGTGGGGCTTAGAGTGAGATTCAAGTGGTTAACGCTTGCCTAGCAAGCGAAATGCCCTGAGTTCAAACCCTGGTACCTCCCCCCCACTAACAAAAAATTCAAGATGGAAACCACAAAACATTAAAACCCAGGAACTAGCTGGGCACCAGTAGCTCGCCTAGCTACTCCAGAGGCAGAGATCAGGAAGACTGCAGTTCAAAGCCAGCTAGGGCAAATAGTTCAAGAGATCCTATCTCAAAAATACCCAACACAAAACAAGGTTATTAGTTGGCTCCAGTGAGCATGAAAGCCCTGAGTTCAAATCCCAGTACTGCCAAAAACAAAAGCAACAACAACAACAAAAATCCAGGAACTTCTGAATGCAGTATTCAAATTCCCCCAGAACTGGCCTTGCTTGGAATAGATAGTAGTTAAAATTATAGGACTGTATGAGTTTTACCAGAAAAGATAAGGAAAGAGGCCCAAGGACTGAAGCCAGAGAAGCATCAACATTTATAGGAAAGGCACAGAAAGGGCCACAGACAAGTGAATGAAAAAACAGGCTGTGCTTCCTGACATGGAAAAGATTTGCAAATTCAAATAACCTGACCACATACTATTATGAACATTTACTTTCATAAACTATTCATTATATATAGATGGTAATTCTTCAGAACCAAGAAGGTGGTTCTTATATAGGCCCACTACTTGGATTATTTCTCAATCAAAAAATAATGCATGAGAGAAGCTGTAGGAAGTAAAATGTATTAAAGGAAAGAATGGAATTTACTAATAGTAGACTCACAGCTAACCTAAGTCAACAATTCATTTACCTTCTAGTAACAGTCATGAGTTATATAGGAGGTCAGCAATATCTCTGAAACATTTATCAAGCAAGAAAAAAATGTAACCTTTAAAATCTGCTAAAAATTCCAGATGACTCATTGAAACTTGTTGCAAAATAAACCACGAGAATTTTCTAACTGCAAGTTAACTTTGAGCAAAATCTTCTGCCAGAAAAACCAGAGCATCTGGTGAGAGAACTGTGCAGGGAGGTGATGAGATTGAGAGTTTAGAACTGGAGGGAGGAAATAAAGTGATTTTGAAAAAAAAAAAAAAGAGTGGATTTGGCAATGTCTTTGGAGGTGGTTTATGAAGTGGGTAAGAGCACAAATCCTGGAAAACGATACTTGTTTGAAACTCAGCTCTGCCAACTTAATCCCTGTGTAATTTTGGACAAGACAATCCATCTCTGGTGCTTGAGTGAAAAAGAGTGGTAACAACTAGAGTTAGGGTTGTTATGGGAAGAAATGACTTCATGCTTATAAAACTCTTAAAGCCATGCCTAGCACATAAGAAGCACTGTGTGGGCATTTGTTAAATGAAAATTGTGAAAACTGGTCATGTCACCCAAACACTTCTGGAGTTTCTCTTAGCAGGTTTTACATGCTCAGGGGAAAGTTCAGAAAAAGAAAATAATGTCTTCTCATTTTTTCCTTTTATTTTCCCATCCTCCCCTGCTCATCTTCAGAGTGCTGTGTTTTCTTTTTATTTTAATTCTTTTTACTCAATTAAGTTCCTTAGGAAGCAAGTAGTGTTTCCTGGCTATTTTCTTAAGAGAAATCTCATCCTGTTTTATAATGTATATTTGTGGCTATTTTCCCAGTTAAGATTGGTCTCAATGTTTTATTTCATTCATGTGATAACATTAAAAGTAAGTATGCGAAAAGAAGAAAATGCACAGATTTAGTGTTATTATAATGAGATGCTGATACTTCAGTGGCAAAAATATGAAGTTTCCATGAAAAGTCTTAGAGAGATCATAATAAATGTAAGAATGGGGATGGACTCAGGGTCTCCCACAATCTAGGCAAATCCACTAAGCTACATCCTCAGCACGCTGACCCTTTTGACAAGTCATATTTGGTCCCTTCCAATTCACTTCTTCAGACCTAATCCAAGGACTCTGCAGACAAATTACTACAAGAGTTAAAACCATAAATTCCTTTGTGTTTGTTCTTTTGGTACCTTTAGTTTCCAGGAAAGCCTTAAAACAAAACAACTTTGCCTTAGTTTTATTCCATTTCTTCGTTTCGTCTTGGTATTTTCAGATTGCTTTAGAAAAGTTAGATGTGACTACAGTGGTGATGGGCTTCTTTCCTATCTTTGAGCCCGATGACTAATTTCCATTTTCCTTGGGCTGCACACTTTCGTATCCTAAAACCACTCTCCGAGTGGGCTCCTGCGGGCGGGGGTAGGGGGCGCTTTTCTTGCCGCCTAAACCTCACTTTATGTGGAAATTCTCCTGCTTTTTGTGTTCACTATAAATAGACAAGCTGTCTTTCTTTTCTTCTGTTGCTTATTATCTACGAGTTTTGCCTCTCTCCCAACCCCCGCAATCTGATTTATTCTTCTGTAGTCTCGCCCTTCTGCACGTTCTTCCACTTTGTGATCAGAGGAATTGGCTTTAGGATCCCCCATTAACTCCTGATCGCCTTCCTCCAGGGAGCTGCAGCATTGGGGGTTTTCTCCCTCTCCTGTAACAGTCGTCCACGAAAGCAACCCCTTGAACGACAACTATAGAACGCGAATCCTCGTGCGTTGTCACCTCCAGATCGGTCCGCGAGGTCACTCGGGTACAGGACGCAAACGCGGGCGACTCCCTCTTGCCTCCCGACTTCCTTCTGGTCTGGCAGCCTCATAAACCCCGGGAAGTTCAGAGATTCCGCAGCGAGCCGCGTCCTCTCACTGGGCATGCTCAGTCGCCGGCCGCCTCGGCAGGGCTTCCCGGAGCGCGCGCTGGGCAGAGCGGCCGCCGAGCCCGAGTGACACGCGCCTCGCGGTCTGCGGCCCCGGAGAGCTCCCCGACTTCGCGCCCTGGTGGGAGCCGCCTTCCGGGGGAGACATGCAGATGATGACGAGGAACGTTTTGCTAGAAGCGGATCTGGAGGAGGACGACGACGAGGATGGAGATATCGGTGAGTTGAGGGGTGTCTTGTCCTCACCCCAAAGCCCGAGAGGGCGCGGGGAGAAGTTTGGGGGGCTACGCGGTGAGGGCGGGGGGCGCTGTCCTTTCGGGCTGGGACTCTCGGCGGGCTGGGGACGGCTGGAGGGAGCTTGCAGACCCCCTGCTCCCTCCCGGCTCAACCCTTGGGTGGGATGGAACGCGGTGGGTTCCGGCGGCCCGGAAAGCAGCCTCCAGACTGGGAAGGGACGCGAACCCTGGAAAGTCACTGCACCCAGGGGACGCTTCTGCACGCGGAAGTCACGACTCAGAGGAACTTTTGGGTCATTTCCTGCGCCTCTAGCGAGGCTGGGGATTCCGGAGAGCCCGGGCGCAGGGCGAGCCGTAGGCGGGGTTCGAGGCTTGGGCCCCGCTTTGCAGAGCAGGCTGAGACCCATTTGAATCCGGCTTAAAGTGAAAGTGAACGGGCTTTACCGGGAGCGGGGCTGGGGCAGGGCGCGGCGGCCTGAGAACTGATTTGTGGCCGCGGGGCGCGGGCAGGGCTCCTTCTCCTTCTGCGGGGAAAGGGATCGGAGGAGGAATCCCGCAGGCAGGGCGCACCGCAGGGCTTTCTCCACTAGTCCCGGGGGCCTGCAGTTTGGGGAGCAAGCCCGGGGCACCCCATTCCTACTTAGAAGTGTTAGGCGGTTTACATGCAGGGCGAGCTGTGTGAGAACAAAAAGCAAACAAAAGGGTGGGCGAGGGTGCGGAAGGGGAACGGAATGGGAGGAGCAGGGGTCCATCAAGTCCCGGTAGAGATCACTGTCTGGGAATGATGTATCAGTCTCTCCAGAAGACTGTGATTAAATTACCATGCCCGTCTCTTCTGGCGACTCTGCCTCATGCTTCTGGATGGCAAATCAGTTTTAAAGCAGAACAGATCCATCTCATGTCCTAAAGCCCTATTCTATAATTACTTTAAAAAGTAACTTAATTTTAGGAGTTGGGTGTGGTTTTTCTTCCTTTCACATTTTAGTCACCAGTCATTTAAAGCAAAAAAGAATTTGGTAATTTCCTTGTTGTCCAGGAACAAATTGAATAGAGATGGGTTATAACCCATGAACCGGCTTTACCTTTTATTTATATGAGAATAATTTATCAGGCATTTATTTTTATGGAGGGAGCAAATAGTATTCTTTTTTATAGGAGCGAAAACCGACGCTCATACCTTGATCTTATTTTTTCACACTTTCAAACCCAAGTTTTCTGACTTGCAAAACCTGTGTGGATTAATACTATTTCTGCTGGTTAGTCTGGTCGACCGATAATGTATGGTGCTACTGTTTAGCAAGACTTAGAAATAAGTGATGATTGCGTAAAAATATCAGTAATGGAAGCAATGTTAAACAATTACAGTAAAATTAGCACAGTCTGTTTCCTAGGAAGGTATTCTTGTCTGTTATGGTGAGGTGTGTCACTGTTTATTTTAGAGTATTGTTTTAAAAAAAAGATAAAGCCTAAATGGGAATTGACTAAGCAAGAGGCTACAAGTTTTGTTTCTCTGTGCCATCAATAGATCTCAATGTAGAAAGAAAAAAATAGTTTGTTTTGTTTCTGTTTACCTGATAAGGCATCATAAAATTCAGCTTAAGTGCATGGCAATAATCTCTCTTTATTTTTAATTACAGATATAATTCATGCTTGTCCCATCAAATCAAACAGTGTGGATATAACTTTTTATATATCTCTACTCCTTTCCCCGCCACTCTCTTGAAATTACTCATATAAATATTTTGGCATCTACAGAAGTCAACATAGTTTATGTCTAACAAGTATTTAAGCAGGTTTCAGCATTTTTTGGTTCTTTTTTGAAGTACTAAAGTGGGTTGCAGTGACTTTCATATCAGAAAATACTTCATCATGCCTATTGAAATTTTATGTCATTATAAAATAATTAAAAAAGCCTTTTTAAAGTTTACCAGAAGTAGGCTGATAACAGTGCACAGCTTATTACAAAATAATTTTAGTTTCCAACTGTGGTTGAGGAGACTGGTGAAATAAACATAATTTTAACCTCTGTCTCTAGTTTTGTAATGTTAACGCTCTTGACTCTTGACTAATATTTCTCCTAGTATTTGATTGTCATTCCTGTTGTATAATTGTTTAAAACCCACTCAGACACTGAAAGTTTCTGTAAATTCCCTCTTAAATATTAAATTATAACAAGACAGTTAATTTGACATGAGTTCCTCAGTATAATATCTGACAATTATCATGAGCTAATTTTCAAAGGACAAACAGAAAAACTTTTCTAACTAGGTGTGGCAGTACCTTTATCACGTACATATTTGGAAGTGTGTCTTCTATTAGATTGGGATGTAGAGCCTTTCCTTTTTAGCAATGAGTTCTGCTTACTCTTGAAGCACTGTTTAATAGTTGTCAAAGTTGCTTCCTTACTTGGTATGAACATGTCTGGAGAAGATGGTAAATTTCACTAAGTGTCTTTTCCTCCTTTGCTTAACTCATGACCACCAGGAATTATGCTTAAAAGGTTTGCTAATGAGGCAACCTGTTGTCATAGAGCATTTTTGCACAAGGCCACTTACTTTCTAAATCAGTTTCAACAATAGAGTGCAGAAGTTACACCCAGGCAGTAGTGGCAGGAAATGCCCTGGTGGAGACCACATGTCATTGCCAGCCCTGGGGGGGCAGGTTGTCACCTTATCTGGTGAGCAGGAGAGCTTTCTTGATTACTTTGCCAGTTATCAGTGATTTGATTCAACATTTCTTCTTATTGATGTAAAAAGTGATAGGAACATCTTTTATGCCAGACTGTAGAAGTTAGATTTAATATGCTGTTTTATTTAGTTTAGCATTCTTTGTGGTTCAAACTTTGCTGAGGGAACAAAAGGGATTCCGGAAGTGAGTGCTTCCAGAACACCAACTCAGGAAAACTCAGTGTTTAGCTGGAAAGATTTTGTTTAGGTGGTTGGCTGGTTGCTTTGGGTCCCAGTCAGTTTAGCTGGTAGGTGGTTAAATGCTTTGGGTTCTTTGTCTACTTCTGGGAGAGCTTACTCTTTAATCCCCTCCACTGATGGTTATGTCCTTGGGGGTAACAGAGGCTGGAAGAGATAATGATCCAGCTGCACCTCTCCGTCTTTATTGGTTCATTCTTCACTGTCACATTTGTAGATAGACTTATCTTTCCATATGATCTCCATTTCTTCACAGTCCACTTCATGTTAAATCACCTGAAAAAAATCTGGTCTTAGTCCCAGGTAGGTTTCATCAACATTAATTAATGCTTCTGTGCAATGTGTTGGATTAGTTGCTGGGCCATACAAATGAGTGAGACACACTTGTCCTTGGGGAGGAAGGTTCCTTGAAACCAGATGTTGTTAATAAGTGCCATGGTTGAAGCGGTTACAAAACTGTGGGAGGAGGGGCTGGAGAGAGCTTTGAAGAAGAGATCACTAGGGTCCAGGCTGTGTGGGTGCATAATGAGCAGGGGGGAGTCTGGCGCTCCAAGGAGTTGCCTGTGGTGGGAAGGGAGCTGGGATGGCAGGGGAAGGGTTACACCATGAAGAATTCTCTACACACTTTACAGATTTGGCATTTTATCCTCTGTGTGATTTGGGATGTACAGAAAGATTTTAAGGAAAGGATCAGATTTGCTTTGGAAAGATCTCCCTGGCAGCATGTTGGAAAGTGGAACGGAGGAGGGAATGGTTCGAGTGATCCTTTCCAGGAGTCGGATTTAGTAATGACTACAGAGGCCACAGGAATAGAGAGGAATGTCTCTGATAGCTTTATGGAAGTGGCAGCATCTCTAAGTGTCTGATTTCTTTCTGGTAAGCAGAGGAGCCTAGGATGAATGTCCAACTTGAGCAAAGGAAGGAAGGTGGCAGCAGGAGGAAAATTTTCTGTTGTTTCAACGAGTCCTTTTTCTTTGGCCTTTGGTTCATTCTCTTCCATGGTGGTTTTACCCTCACCTCCCCTCTTTCTCAGTCATTCCTTCTCCTACCAAGTGTGTCAAATCCAGATTATTACCTATCCTCCAGCTCAAAGCACCCATCAAGAATGCTCACATTCCTTGTCTCTGGGTTTTATGCAGTTAGCATTCATTCTGTGTTTTGCCTTTGTTGTTTATTATCATTGTATTTATTGTCTCTACAACTAGAGTGTAAATTTCTTGGTGACTAGGTCTAGGTCACTTGAGAATTCTAGAAACCATGCAAAATACCCAAGATGTTGTAGACATTCCACTGATATATATATATACATTTATTAAATGTCTTTCACATATTTCTGTAAAATTTAAGTTCCCTGAAAGCAGGTACTTTGAGTTTCAAGCTGTGTCCCTAAGGGGACTTAGGTAGGAGCTAACCAATGAAGGAATGAATGATTCACTTTAAAAATAATTTGTTTAATACAGTGCCTAGTGGTTTTATAGCCCTAGAGAGTTCTCTTTTTTCTAAGCACTTTGAGATACCCTCCGTTGTCTGTTTCAAAAATGTTGAGTGTAAATGTTTTTCCAGGCCTTCTAGTAGGTTCTGAACCCTTACCTCTAGTACCTCACTATCTAGGAAGAAGACAGATAAGTGAACAGTAATTGTGGCAATCAGTCATTGCTGTAATCAGCTGTGTGCCAGGAGAAAGTATGGTACCAATGACTACCTAGGAGATGGCATGTAACCTTGCATAGGGGAATCCCGCTCTACAGTGTCTGTACCCGACCTAGCCCTGAATGGGTGAGAATATCAAGTGAGGAAGTGGGGAATCAAGAAAATGGAACATCCTGAGTATCCTAAAGATATTATGGTTCCCAAAAAATAAACCCTGATACTACCCTCAACTTATGCAGTATGATATATACAAATGTATTTTCTCTACCAAAGGGATTAGAGTTAATAAGCAAAACAAAACGAACTATCCTATAAGTCTTTCTCTTTTAGCATGGGCAGTTGTGCTCCTTTTCACAAAACTTATTTTTAGTTTTGAATTCATGGTCATGAGTTATCATCCGTGTTCTAA